TCGGCTGAAACATGAAGGATCGTGGCCCTGAGAGCTGCCTCAGGAAAAAAATTAAAGCTTCAACGAAGTTAACCAGAATACAAGCTGGTTCTCTTCTGTTATGAATGCCACTGCTGTGTGACTGGTATGTAAACGCCACAGAACACTATTAGTTTGTCCATTATGGGTTAAATTCACAGTTCAGCCCTTTAGCCCACATTTAGGTTCTCACTCTGAATAAATCTGGAAGTTTTACTTCTGATTCATGAAGAATAAGAATAATGTGTGGATGGAATGTAAGTACACTAAAACACAAAACCAGATTTGATCTTTGTATTGTATTGTTATATTAAACATACTTTGTAGCAAAGCCTTTGCTGGTGTTTGCAGCTTCTAGACGCTTCTTGTATGGAGACACCAGTTGTGATTCTGGTCCATTCTTCCACACAAACACTCTTTAAATCTTGAGGTTCATTGGGTCTTTTATGAACTTTGATCTTCAGTTCTCTCCATATATTTTTGTATTGGATTAGGTCAGGTGATTGTTTGGGCCATTCATGCAACTTGATTTTCTTTCTTTGAAACCAATTCATTGTTTCCTTGGCCTTGTGTTTGGGATCATTGCCTTGCTGAAATGTCCACCCTCTTTTCATTTTCAGATTTCTGGTAGATGGCAGCAAATTTTTATCCAGAATGACCCGGTACATTTCTCTATTCATCCTGCCTTTGGTAATATGAAGTCTGCCAGAACCCCTTGCGGAAAAGCAGCCCCGCACCATAATGCTTCCACCTCCAAACTTAACTGTTGGTATGGTGTTCTTGGGGTGGTGGCAGTGCATTTTTTTCTCCAAACATGGTGTGTATGACATCCAAATTCAATTTTGGTTTCATCTGACCATTCTATAGTGTCCCAGTAATCCACAGGCTTTTCCAAATACTATTTCACGAACTTTAACCGAGCCTTAACATGCTTTTGTTCAGCAATGGAGTCTTGAGTTGTGAGCATGTATGGATGCCATGGTGGTTCAGTGCATTGCTTACAGTTTTCTTTGAAATAACAGCATCTTCTGATGTGAGGCCTTCCTGAAGTTTTGCCAGACTGGTTCTTGGCTCTTGGCGAACTATCCTGATTATTCTTTGGACTCCTAGGACAGGAACCTTACGAGGAACACCTGATTGTGGCCAGTTAATGGTGAGCTGATGCTCTTTTCATTTCCAGTGAATGCCCCCCACAGTGCTCACAGGAGCATTCAGCATTCTGGAAAGGCTCCTATAAGCGTTCCCATCAGAATGATTTTCAACGATATGATTATGAAGATTTTGGGAGCATTATTTGCTTTTAACCATCAAAAAGTCTTTCCTGTGTGCCTCTTGGGTAATGAGAAGCCTTTATGGGCCATTGATTAGGATAAAAGCAGCTGGTATCAATCGGTACTGATAGGGGGTGGGGTTTCTCTCTCAATACTGACAGATTTCAGGTGATCTCATGGCTTTCTGTGCCATTTTGCACCTTGTTATCTTCATGAGTTTAATACTTTTTCCCTGTGTCTTTTCATTTTATTATACATGACAATTTATGGACTTTTAAATGACTGTGTGTATTTTCCCTGGCGATAGGGGGCAATCGGGGGCAATAGATACCTAAATCATTGCAAGCAGGCATTATTTTGTGTTCAAATAAGACCTTACCAACGGATGGCCATTAGGGTCAAAAATCCCTGGGAGCACAACCTCAAACAAAATGACAAGCACATCAGACTCCCTTTCATCACTGGCAACAAGCAAAGAGGTAAATGTGTAAAGCAACATTTATTATTGGTGGAAGTTTTGTAACCATTTGTTACAAATCAGTAAATCGGTTTTGTCCTCATGGGCTTCCGTAGAAGGAAACATGGCATCCAAAATGGTGTGACCCAGATAATTAGACCAACACCCATGTATTTTAGACCAGATTTTTATGGTTATATATTATGACACTGCCAATATTTTTCAACAACTGAGCTTCTTTTAATTCATTTACAACATTTCGATGGATATTTCCAGAGATTAATGGTAAAAAAAAACTACACATCGTCACTTCCATATTTAGGTGTCTTTGCATGAATTAAATACTTGAGTTGATTTTGACATGTGGACATTTTGTGTTGCTAAACCAATTAGAACAACCCTTTCTGATGCAAATGCTTATGAGTCAAATATTCTCTCGCTGTATCTAAATTGAAACAATCAAAATTTGACATCTACGTACAAACTTAGCTTTAATAACTTCCCTAAAAACTTAATCTCATTAGTCTTTTTTTTTAATAGAAACACTTTGGTTTGACATCAGAATTTAGATTTTAGACAAGAGATGTGCTTCATGTTGTTGGGAAGTATTTTTAGGAACACATTTTGCCTACAGAATTCTTTGTAGAACAGTGTTGGAAACCTGCCTCAGAGGTTCTGGTCCATATTGACATGACAGTGTCACACAGTTACATTCATAATGGGATTCTCCTGTTCCATTACATCCCAAAGGTTCTCATCTGTGATAGGATCTGGTGATTCTGGAGGTCTCTGGAGTCTACTGAACACATCATGTTTGAGATGATCTGGGCTTTGTGACCTGGTGCATTATCCTGCTGGAAGAAGACTTCAGAAGATGGGCCCATATAGAGATGAGCAAGGTGCATTCTGTTTGCTGGACTTAAAACGCAAGCAAACTTCAATAAAAGCACAAGAAAACCATAAGGATTCTGTTTTCTAGCTTATTCACACGGCCAAGTTGCATCATGAACACAAATTTCCTTTCTTCCCTCTAGAGGCGAGTTTCTATACGTGGACAGTCCTGGTGACACTGCTTCTACGCATTCATGTGCTGCTCCATTAGCTACTGCCCTTGAGGTTGCACAGTGATGTTGGTTATGCAACATTTAAAATGTCACCTGGAGCTGCAGCCTTTGCAGCCTCTGACCACTCAGTGTTATCTCCTTTGATGAGGAGGAATAAAGGCAAAAATAATTTGGGCCTACCATTAAAATTAAAAGCTTCTTCTGAAGCGTACTCACTCCTTTATGCTAAATACGTTTTAGAGAGTAATTTTTTCATCTTCTGCTTTTAGTTTTTAGCTGGAGTTTATTTTGACATGTTCTTTTATGGTGATCAAAGCAAATGTCAAATACATGTCATCACCAGAGACAGAAATGTATCAAATATCTCTAATTATTGTCCACAAAAGAGATTAAACTGGTACATGCTATCTAATCAAAAATATTCATTATGTTTTACCAATCTTATCCACAGTATATCATTTTGAGCTCAAGGACATTCAGTAACAGAAAAAAGAAAAGGAAAAAATAATTCATAATTACTTTTGTATATGAAGAGCTTTCCAGGAAGCAGGGTTTAAGAGCAGCAAAAACAGGAAGCTGCATTTTCTGGCTAAAAGTCAATCTTCTGTCAGAGTTCAAATTATTATGAAAGATTTGATTTTCAGAGAAAATTCACCCTTGTTGGAGAAAGCTGCCATTGTTGAGCTGTTTTACGCATGCAATCAGACACACTTATCGTTTTCCTGAAAAGTCAAAGCTTCACACAGCAACATGTTAGAGGCCTCTTAATTTAATCTGGATTATTAAATTACATAATTTTCTTCAGGGGGTTTTCCCCTCTCTTTCTTTTGCCATTGCTTTGAGGAAAAGTTCTAGTATCATCTTTGCATCAGAACAAACTCTTTTCGAGTAAAATCTGAGTTATTTCTGCAGCAAAAAATGTCAGCCAACTGTGGAAAGAAACAACTTCCTCTATAAGAAAGAGAAAACATAAACTTAAGATAACTGCAGATACATATAAAAGACAGTAAGCATTGCAGAGTGAAGAAATGTGGTCAGTTTGTTCTCCTGCAGTCAAACCTAAAGTAGCATAGCTAAAGGGATGAGCTCGGTAACCCTAGAAATACCCCAAACCTGGGCTTAACATAACATAACATAACATAACGTATGCGTTTTCACCTCCAGCTCAGTGGCACATCCCCTTACACCAGCGGCTTTCCAGACACAAATCAACAGTGAAAGGCGTTCCACAAAGCTGGTTTTGTGAGTTGCCAGTTCACACAATAACAAGCAACAACAAAAATAGCAGTGTATGTCCTAAAAGGCCCGTGATTTATTTTCTGTTCTCTTTAAGTGAGCTACAAAGGTGTTGCAGGTAATGATGTATTTTTAGAAGTTAAGCAACTAGAAATCTGCACGTGTCTTTTATTTGAACGTTAGCAGCTATTTTACACTGCTCTTGTGTTTGACCACCTGTCTGGCCCGATCTGAACTGCTGAGCTTGATGCATGCTGGAAGCGTAGCAAATTAAAAAAAGCTCCAATGTAAATTTAGCAGGGGGACAAAACACTACGCTTCTGTGACTAGTTCATGCACCTCTTTGTGGATGGTGGAAACGCACCAATCGACAATAATGGCAGCTAATAGCTGTGTACTCCGCGTTGCCAATTTTACACAATGCTTGCCCATCTGGTGGAAAGCTGGAGTTACCCCCTTAAGGACCATGCATCGGTGAAATAAACAAAATAACCAAACGTCACAACAAAGTTTCACCATAAAAATTTGCTAAAACCCCACAATATTCTCTTCCCTTCTATTCAATGGTATTTTGTTTTCTCAACATATTTTTCTTCTTCAGATGACACAAGTCCTCTTTCACACAGCACAATGTTCTTGGACTTATATATAATAGATATTCATCTTTATTACATTTTTTTTTTTACATTTAAGGAACATTTGAGTGCACTTGACTATCCATGAACTGCCATATAGGCCATGTTCATCATTGTTTCCCAAAATTTTATGCATATAACATAATTTGGAAAAACAAAACTGCTTCGTTAACCTGAATAAAACTGCAGGCATCTGTAGTTAAACTGCTTGATTTGATATCATCTTCAGAGTGCCACACAGGGTAAATACATCTGTCGCTGCTCGGGCACTAATCACCCGTCATACATTCGCGAGCTCTCTCTGATGAGGCGTTCTTGGTCTGACTCAGAGCTCCGGTAAACTCATGTCACCACCAGTAGCTCAGAAGGAGCTGAGAGGGGAGATACGCTGCTGCCCGACCGGGGCACAAGTCAGTATGTTCCGCTTAAAAAGCTCACATTTTAAACTAATGGTTTATTACCATTAAGCAAGGACAGAAAGGAGACAATTTCGGCTCTTGCTGGCCAAGCGACACAGATGAGTCTGCGGCCTCTCCGGCGATTGTAACGCGTCTTTGTTCGGTTTTGTGGGGCATCTCTCCTTCACCTCCACAATGGAGAAGGAGCACCGGTCGGACGACGAGGGAGATTATGAGGAAGAGGAGGTGGACCCCAGAATACAAGTAAATAACTCCTAATTTAGCTGTTTTTTTAAGGTATAGAAAATGTCTGTTTCTTTTTCTCCGCTAGAGCTAACAACAAAGTCCTAGTTTAATTCTTCGTCTTAATCTATGAAATGATCAGATTTAGCTTCTTGTCACTGAAACTGTTAATGTTTTAGTGCTGTTTTAAAAACAAAACAGTTCCCTAATGTTGGATTCTACCAACATATACTGATGCAACTGTCTCACAGTTAGTTTTAAACTCCGTGTGATTTAAATAAAGGGTCTAGTTTGTTTTAAATCGCAGGATAACAGTTCATATAAGTAAAAAGCATAATCTCAAGGATTAGCAGCTTATTTTGTTTTTAAGTATTTAAAAGAAAAGTTAAGTGTTGAATCAAACACTTATCATATTACTGCAAATATTGCCTCCGTTATTGCCTCCATGATGGTAATTAACATTTTTTTAAATCTGTAAAACAAATTACATTATTTGTGTTGAAAGATTAAACACCTCTTTCCAAAAAAATATTTCTTTTAAAATCTCACAGTTTAAATAAGCACACTTTAAATTGAAATTTATTCCACAGGTTGCAGGTTATGTCTAGTTTAATTCCAGGTTCATCTTCTAAATGTTCTTCTGTTTCTGTTGAAGGGAGAACTGGAGAAGCTGAACCAATCCACTGATGACATCAACAGATGTGAAATAGAACTTGAGGTCGGTGTACTGGTGCAGAGTCTTTCAGATTCATTGGGTCTTCAGATTATTTGTTTGTGAGAGCAGGCTGGTAGTTTCTGACCTGCAGAGCATGCAGTTGCAGGCATCTTCGACTGTTATCAGGCTGGATTTAGCTTGACTGACAGTTTGGGTGATAATCTGTCTGTTTTTATTATAAATGTGTGTTCCTAAATTTTCAGCTATATGCAGTTACAGAAATAATTTTTAATGAATTACAACAGAAACTTTGATCTTGTAAAGTTCACATTTTTTGTGAGTGTCAGCAGGTTGCAGCACACTAAAGACATTTTTGTGACACATAAAAATTGTGTTACAGACCTCTTGAGTATACAGATCAGTAGAAATATCAAATAAGTCAAATTTGTCACCCTAAAATTGCGCAATATTATTCAGAAGTTTGCTTCTCATAGAAAACTACATGAAGTATCAGGGGGAAAAGAAGATATTGTACCTTTTGCATGAACATGTTTTAATAAAATTAGCCATAAAGCTCTATTTAACATGGCTACCTCGTGGTTTTCCGTGGAGAATATTCACAATTCATATTTGGAAACATGAATGAAGTATTTGCTGCACAGTTTGAGCTGTTTGGCATGAATGTAACCGGAATGACCACCAGTAATAATTCATGTTGACAGTGAAGCATGGAGGTGAAAATGGGGGGGAAATTAGAGTGCAAAAGGTGTTGCACGGATGACATTTCCAGATTAATTAATAATGACATTTAGGGGATATTTCACATCTGCATCTTTGCTGCGTGCTGATCAAGCTGTCAGTTTATCTTAAATTGCTCTAAAACAAGTCATGAACCTCAGGGACCGGACTGGACTTGGGACAAGGCCGTTAAACAGGTCTGAGCTAATGATCTTTGAGTCCCATTAAAACCCAGTGAAAGCTGATGACTGACTTGCTTTTTAGGTCAACAATGTTGAGAGTAAAAAACAGATTAAAGGTCAAAATCAGATCATATGACCTCAGGCAGCTGAGAAATCAAGTTAAATAAGACTTTAGTTATTAATTTTACTTTGGAGGATGGTTCAAAAGGCTCTAATGGCATTCACTCGTTTTATTGTGATCTTTAATTCATGCTGCATTGAAACAGTTGAGTTTTATTGCTTCATTAATGTTTGTTAATTGCAGTAAATTGCAGTAAACCTTTCTCAGTGGCCTAGTGGTAGAGTGTCCGCCCTGAGACTGGGAGATCAGGGGTTCGATTCCTGGTCAGGTCATACCAAAGACTTTGAATAAATGGGACCCAATGCCTCCCTGCTTGACACTCAGCATTAAGGGGTTGGATTGGGGGGTTAAACCACCAAATAGTTCGCGAGCGCGGATGTGTCTGCAGCTCACCGCTCCCCCAGGGGATGGGTCAAATGCGGAGAACAAATTTCGCACACACACCTGTGTGTGTGACAACTAATGGGACTTTAACTTTAAATTAACCCATTCACTGCCAGCCGTTTCCTGATCGCTAACGGCCTTCGCTGCCAGCATTTCTCACCGTTTTTACTGTTTTTTAAGTCACAGAACGTTGCGCGCTAGGATGATGTCGACGCCAAAACAACCAAAACAAAGAGGAGACTCACCTCTTACATCAGGAAGAAGCAGCGTGTTTCGAGCGTTATCCGTTCTTTCATAAGCCGTTGTCGAATTGTGATCGGCAAACGCTTTTCCGGTTCGCGCCTCACCTTTTTGACAGGAACGGCCCAAAACGATCTCCTAACACATGGATGTTCTGCTTCCTGATCACATGACGTGTGACATATGCGGATGAAGATCGGCTTCAGGGCTGAGATGTTTGTTCTCTCAGCGCGAGGGCTCATTCCGATGCTCAAACAGTAAAAAAATTCAAATGACGACTTTAGTCGTCAATGGCAGTGAATGAGTGAAGGTCAGTTTGTGGCTTCACTGACGCCCTCATGCAGATCTAAGCCGGAGATATACTTCTCCTTCTGCATGGGTATGGAGAGACGCAATGCCATGAAGGACTCTGTGGCTGGCCACACAGGGTGATGGAAACATACCAAATTTTTCACTGTATGTTGAAAGTAATTCTGCAAGCCTGTGATTGGTCAAGGCGCCACTTCGTTGAAGTGTGGGGAAAAATATGGGACAAGTTTGTCAAGTATTGCTCTGGTTCAGCAAATCCTTAGCCTCTAATTGGTACCAGGGACAAAAATCGTGATGGGAACATCTCTATCCAGGAAATTTAGGAACATTTACTTGTCTTTGACAGAATTATCTGCGTTTACTCCGCTCTTTAAAAATTCAGAAACGTTAGCAGAAGTAGTTCTCTTGATCTGGATTCCCACAAGTCACACAACCCGTGGGGGGAACTTACTACAACAAAAGGAAATCAGAAGTTCACGTAAAACCAACTTCTGTAATGACTCTGTGCTTCCTGTGCATCACTTCCTCTTTTCCCATTTGTATTATTTGGAGTACCAACACCTTATTGGTTAGAAAAATACCTTAAAGTGTACAGCGCATTGATGATGTCGTTGTGTTGCATTCTACTGCTGTATTTGTCCGTAATCTGTAAACAAACCAGGTTATTTGAATGTGCTAATAAACAGGTTATGTTGCAAACATGACTGTGAATTAATTGGGCAAATCTAAAGTCTTAACTGTTTAAACCAGTTGTGTCCAGTTGAATGCTAGTGCTAATTGGAGCCATAAACATTTAGTAGTTTTTGAAGTAATATTTTAGCTGTAATAATGAATAATGTTTGAACCATGGTAGATCATCATGGTCATTTTTAACGGCCTCCTCTTTTAATTATCTTGTAATCTAATCTTGTTGATGAGTCAGCACTGTGTAGCTTGTTTAGGCATGACTGATTTGTGTTTCTGCTCTAAACATTAGATATTAGATTCATGTCTGATGTCTGCTGCCCTGAAACGTGGCTGTCAGCTCTGAGAGGGGAAACCACTCGCTTTGAACACAGCAACAGCACGTGTGAAAACCGCATCACTCATCAAGTTTTTTAGGGAGTTTTTAGGATGGAGAAAACATCAAGATGCAGCGTGAACACGAGTGTTTATTGGAATGACAAATATTTTGGTCTTTTAAGCATTTTACAAACACGAGAAGGGGATTTTTTAATGCAGTCAGTGCAGATGTTCTCAGATAAACAAAACCATATCAAGGTTAATATCTCAGATTTAAGTGTTTTGAAGCTGAATTGTGTCACAGTTTAAGTCTCTAGGCCCCAAGTGGGAGGATGGGGACGCTGCACTGCAGTCTCCATCAATCTGAGTTAAATCATAAAGCAGGTGGGTCACAGAGGAGAGAAACACACTAGAATTTAACTAAAAAAAATCAAGTTTTTGATCCAAGTCTTTCCTTTCAGTGGCTTTCATAGGATAAACATGGCTCTGTATCCCAATTAGTAATGAAACAATAACTAAAGACGGCAGTGCTGACTGGTTACTTCAATTTAAGGGTGTATTATTCCACATCTGACTCACTGTAGAGGTTACAACTGGTCATAATGGGTCACAGTTCTCTGATTTTTAGTCTAAATCAGCACTTTACCATCTGATAGTTGTTGTTTTACTTGAAATCCAGCATGTCAGAGAACAAAACCTGATGTACTGGAAACATTATCATTTAGTCTTTTATGTTCCTGAAGTAGCATGAAACACTAGGAGATAAAACCAGGTCAGACATGTTATCAGTAAACTGCAGAAATTCCTCATTTGTGCAGAAAACCCAGCATAGAAGATCCTTTTGTGAAGTTTATGACTTTTTTCCCCCTGTAGATTTTTTCCCCCCAGCTAGTTCTATGTCCTCAGTTGTCTTCAACTGGGTTGAGTTCTTCATGCCATTTGGAAAAAATAATGACATTTAAAAATGAGTTCAAAATTTCCCCAGATAAATGGCAATACAAAAAGTTCTTTAACCCTCCCACTGTCCTAATGGGTGTGACCCCGCGAGGAAAGTTGACCATTGAGCAGGATTGATGGTTTATCCCTTGGGTCCATGTGGCAGGGGTAAGGAGTGAGCACCACCTGTAATTGACTGCAAAGGATTTGCAACCAAGTATTGAAATGTATAAGTTTGATTTATGGTTCTTATTCTGTCCCATTACTTTTGGTCCCTTAACAAGTGGGAGGCACAAATGCAAACTGTTGTAATTCCTACACCGTTCACCTGATTTGGATGTAAATACCCTCAAATAAAAGCTGACCGTCTGCAGTTAAAGCACATCTTGTTCGTTTCATTTGATATCCATTGTGGTGCGGTGGTGTATAGAGCCAAAAATGTTAGCATTGTGTCGATGTCCCAATACATGTTTATGGACCTGACTGTATATCTGATCCCCAAATGAACAAATTTTCTTATTTTTATTCTGTTCTTCAGGATGGGAGGCAGAAGTTTCGCTCCGTTCTGGTGGAAGCCACGGTGAAGCTGGATGAGCTGGTGAAGAAGATCGGGAAACCTGTGGAAGAATCGAAACCCTACTGGGAGGCTCGCAGATTGGCCAGACAGGTTAGTCGACTTTAAAAACAAACCCTGTTATTGTTTAGCAGAGTCAAACACCTCTCTGTGCTACAGCGGTGTGAAAGTTAAACGATCACACTCCATGAGTTCCTCTTTCTGGGTTATTTTATTTTTCTCTCTTCTGCTTTTTAAACCCAACAAAAAAGAAAAATCTAGTAATTATTTTTAACACAGCTAAATCCACACACACTCACATGGGATTTATATTAAATCTACAGATTTAATATATTAATATATATATCCTGTTTACTTTCTGGGGGTAATTTCCCATCGTTAACACTTCCTTTGTTTGTTTTCAAGGCAAGTCTCAGCAATGTTACGTTTTTGTGACTCACAGTTTACTAAAGTTCAATCATCCATTCAGTTGTTTTACAAAGGGGACGTGCTGCCTGGACATTAAGATTCTCAAGCTAAAAAAATCCACAACAGTGGAATATTTTCTTTCACCATTTGCATCTAAACTGAATTATTTACATTTTAGAGCATTTTGTCCTTTTCTAATTGAAATTAAATGAAAGGAGAATTTTATTTCTTAAGAAATTTCACTTATTTTTTGTGTTAGTGTTGCTGGCTGGCATAGACAAAAATGTATTCATTACTAATTATTTCAGACCACAGTTTCCTTTCCCTTTTCCGTGTGTGTGCGTGTAAATAAAAAGGGAGAAGACACCTGTGCTTCTCGATAAGAGCTCCTGCAGCTGCGAGAGCTCAGTCAGAAAGCACAGGGATTGCTCTGAGGCTCTGAAAGCATTATTGTGTTGTTTCTTTGCTCTTTTTGTTGGGACATAATTCATGTTGGCCCTTTTCTCAGCAGTGTTCACGTTTTCACAGAGAACTAAATAAAATTACACAGAATATGAAAGCAGGCTGTGATTGTGCAGCTGGACACATTTTAATGCAAAGATTAGATGCAACAGACTTTATATTTAATTTAACAGGAATGTGGGGTTTGTATCCAAAAGGTGTGGAAGTCACCTTTAAGTGCATGACTTCTTCTTCCATGAAACTCAACCATTATTTAGGAACTACTTCCCAAAGAGACTTTTTTTTTTTGACTAAACAGACAAATTGGCTAACTATTCTGGTAGAAATGATAGAATATTTTTGGAATAAGCACATGCATTTGTGTCGACAACAGGCTGTGAAGCATGTGATGGTTGTTCCTTCTACCTGTCAGGTCACCTGCTGTCCCAGTTTTATTCTGGTCTTCTCTCCACACTTACTTTCACTACTTTGGTGTTTTATGTAGAGCAAGGAATTCTTAGAATGTAGATGAAAAAGATGCACGATGAGTGGATAAATAAAAGTCTAACAAATTAATTTAATCAACTCAAGAGGGGAAATAAACGTAACTACAATAAAGTCTTCTATTCCTCTCATACGCTGCGAAAAAAGTGATAAAACTTGAAAGTGTTCTGGGGAAACCAGCTTTAGTGACATTTGGGGTGACCTAGTTTAGCCCAGATCCTGAACGTGTCCTACAGATTACACTTCAGCTGTTTTATTTAAATCCTCACAGGTGAAAACCAATGACTATTTTAGCCATGTGGCTGATAACTGAATTTTCCTTAAGTCTTATCAGGAAAAGCATTTATTCATTCATCAGAAATGGCTATCTCTTACCTCCAAAAGCAAAAGAAAGCTAATAAAGCAGCTTTTAAATTAATGTTGTAATGGACTCTGAGAAATCGTTTGTTGTGTGAAAAACTGGTTTAAGAATAAGAATACCTTTAGTCATCCCTCAGTGGGGAAATAGCATTATTGCAATGGCTCAGGTACAACTGGATAGCAGCAGTAGCACACAAGATGTCACACAATCATTTAATTGTAAATTAAGATAATTATTGCACATATTTAATAACGAGAGTAGTAGTAGTATTGCACATGTCTTGAAAGAAGATGCTATTTTTAGTGTAATGTCACAGATGTATGGGTTGACCATTATAGAGTCTGACAGTGGCAGGGTGGAAACGCCTTCGGTGTCCCGCCTTCACAGTGACGGTGGATCAGACTGTCGCTGAAGCTGCTCACCAGAACAGACAGGGCATCCTAGAGGGGTGTGACTCATGGTCCAGCATGGATCTGAGTTTAGCCAGCACCCTCTTGTCCCTCACCTCTGAGTCCAGAGGTTTAACACATCATAAGCTTAGACACACATGCTTAAATTAGCATGTCCCAACTTACTTCAACGTCAGCAATAAATAGATGTTGGTGGTGATGATAATGCTAACAGCTGAACAATGCTAGCATGAGCTACTGCTTTATCAATTATAAAGGCACTGGGGGAAACCCTGGTCGTGTCTATCCATTTATCAGGGCACCTGGGTCATTTTGGGCACCAAAAAACATTTCATATGTTGCATATAAACTCAAAGAACAGTTTCCAATTGTGAAAACAAATGTTTTTTTCAAGATCTCTTAAATAAAATTACTCTGGACTGATTAGATGTAAATTTAAAGTATTCATGTTTTGAACCCTGAACCTTTTCCACTTTTTCTGTAGGAGTGACAAAGATGAAATCAGGATGAAAAACATCAGACCAGGCAGATGTGGTTTGGTGGATAGATGGTGAATATATATATATATGTGTATATATATATATATATATATATATATATATATATATATATATATATACATACAGTACTGGCCAAACATTTGGAAAAACCTTCTCATTCAATGTGTTTTCTTTATTTTCATGACCATTTACATTGGAAGATTCTCACTGAAGGCATCAAAACTATGAGTGAATGCGTGGAGTTTTGCATTTAACCAAAAAAGGTGAAATAACTGAAAACATGTTTTATATTCTATTGTCTTCAAAATAGCCACCCTTTGCTCTCATTACTGCTTTGCACATTCTTGGCATCTCTTGATACGCTTCAAGAGGTAGTCACTTGAAATGGTTTTCCAACAGTCTTGAAAGAGTTCAGAGGTGTTTAGCACTTGTTGGCCACTTTGTAAATGGTCATGGTCATGAAAATAAAGAAAACACATTGAATGAGAAAGTGTGTCCAAACGTTTGGCCTGCACTGTATATAGAAGGATTCTTGGACTGGAACTGCCAGGAAGGTGACCTAGAGCCTGCCCAAGGAGATTTGTGGATGCTGTGAAAGAGGACATGAGGCTAATGTTGGGAGAGTAACAATGTAGAGGTTAGATGGAGCCAGATGATTTGCTGGGGTGACCTGGCCTGAACCTTTACTATCTGTGGAGCTGCAGGGTGTTCGAGCTACTGAATGTGTTTCTTTTTTGTTTTTGTAGGATTTGAGCATAATGGGTTTTAGTTGGGTTTGATATGAATCTTACCAGAAACATGGTACCACACAGAGTTCACTCCCTTCTAGTCCACTCCTAAAGTGGCCCCACAGCCTTTCATTTCCTAGCTTTTTCTCATCTTCTTAACTAACGGCATACTGATGCAAGTCCATATTTAATCCTCGCCTTTCTTTTAAGATTTTCACAAGTTGCACAATAAATGCATGTTTTAAGTGCAGCATGGTAAATATTAAGGGTAGCATTCCGACATTTTAATAATTAACTCACCGTTTTAGGGGATTTAGACTCATTAAAAGCATCATCTGGTGGATTCTTGTGTTCTCTAAATGCCCCCCAGCTGATGTAAATGTTAAGCATTATGCCTTCATAAAATGATAATTAGAAGTTGTCTTCAGCCAGTTTTGTTCTAATTTTGAATCTCGCTGCACAGGAACATGCTCATTGTCTTCCCCTCTTTTCTATGGTTGCAGACTGAAGTGGAGCTTTTATCTCTTTACAGATCTCTAATCTGCACTCATCCACATGAAGCTGAGGTTTCAGCAACGGAGCCAAATTCAGATTTAGATTGGTTTATATGAGTCTCTTATTTAGCTATTTTTAGAAGGGATTTAAAAACATTGGGATCTTCTCAAATGAAAGTGAACTGTGAATTAAAAATGTCTCCAAATCTCAACTCTTCCATCTATATTGTAGTAAGTTCATCCACAAATGCACCTAAAACAACAAACCTGTCATGGATCGTCTGCTTTCAGACATGAAAGAATCTGTTTGTGTCTTTGTGAGTGTTTGTAATCTTCCATCGAGGGTGTCGAATGCCTTTAATGAAGCCATCTTCAGTTGAACACGCATAAATCAATCATGACGCAGTTTTGCTAAACTAATTCTCATTCCCTTGCTGCAATTTGCTTTGATGATTATTCAGCTTTAAATAAAATCCAGAGACACAGACTCGCTGTTTCTCTGCCCTCCGCCGGTCACACTCTTCTCATTTCACAGGGCAACTGAGTTTCTCAGATTATGAGCTGACCACAGTAGTAGTTCGATGCGCTTGATTTTCCTTGCACAGCTGTTACTGATTAAATGAACTTATCTGACCTATTATTTTGTTCTTAGTTTATCTGTTTTGAACTTTCCTGTTTGTCCTCTAAACTAATTGGCAAATGTCTTTTGTCCTTTACTGCTTTGCATCTTTCCTTTTCACCCCTAGACTCTTTTAGCTTACTATTATGGTCTGCAGTTCTGACACACCTGCGTAATAAATCTTCCTTTCACTGTTCTTTTGTCAGGTTGTTTTTCTGACTCATCCTCCCTCCTTTTGTTTTTCGATCCCTGCTAAGTTTTTTTCTTCAGATTCACACGGTTGATCTGAGGCTTTCTCTTCTAAATAATCACAGATGAAGCTTGGGGCACCATAGAGTAGCAGCAGCGACAGGTGGAGTTTTGACCATAATTCTACATAAAAAGAACACAGAGTATTTTATATCAGGGCTGGTCAATACATCGCATCATCATCATCATCATCGCGTTATCGGTATGTGCATGTCGCAAAGAACAGACCCCCCCCCCCGGCAATGAATGATTCGCTCAAATATTTGCTACACTTGATGCATTTTGTCAGTGAAACAGAAGCCCGTCACCCATTTGGCAGCATTTCAACAGGGAAACTAATTTCAACACAGCACCGGTTCACTTTAAGAGGAGCTTTTTA